TGGGTCCACTGGTGGAACCTCTTCTAACCGGTTCGGTAGATTTGATGAACCGGTTCTACCGAATAGGTGCAAACTGGTAGGAACCCACCTCTGCAACAGACTCACATTTATAATCAGCTGAAGGATCCTCTGGTCCCATGATCACATTTTGCATCATTTTTTTTGCCAATTTCCGGCAAAAAAAATGCCCATTCAGAAGAATGGATACACTTAAAAATATGATTTGTTTAATGACCAAAATAAAAAAAAATTGTAAAAGCAACCATAAAAATAAAAATGCATGGGAAAAACCTAAGGATAGCAAGTTTGAGGTTACTTGTCTACAGTGTTGGAATAAATAGGAAAAATAATCACCTTAATTCAAACACGGGAAACAATGAGAAAAAGTAACTGTGAGATTCAAAGTTTTCCAGTCTTCATCCATACTACTGACTCCCACAGTTCTCCTTACCCAGAAACATGCAGGATATCAGTTATGCATTTTCTGGTTCTTGAAAATAATCTTTACCCAAAACAATCATGAGTGATTAAAGGTAAAGTCATTCCCGACTCTAGGAGGCGGTGCTCATCTCCGTTTTAAAGCTGAAGAGCCAGCGCTGTCCGAAGATGTTTCCGTGGTCATGTGGCCGGCATGACTAAATGCTGAAGGTGCATGGAACGCTGTTATCTTCGCACCAAAGATTTTTCTACTTGCATTTTTACATGCTTTCGAACTGCTAGGTTGGCAGAAGCTGGGAGCTCACTCTGTTATGCAGTTCTAGGGATTTCAACCGCTGAACTGCCGATCTTCTGATCAACAAGCTCAGCATCTTAGTCACTGAGCCACTGCGTCCCTTTCATGAATGATTAGGTTCCCTTAAACTCCACTGAAGATGTTACTAGCCAGGTAATGAAATGTTCAGAAACCAACCCATAAGCTTGGAGAATGAATCTTCACCCTCAATCATGAGTGAATTTAAAAGAATAAGTTGTAAGATATTGTTTTTCCTCTTTTCAGATGCAGAGGAATGCACCAAATGTCCAGAAGATGAGTACCCGAATGAAGACCGAGATCAATGTATCCCTAAAGTTATAAATTTTCTGAGTTATCAAGGACATTTGGGGATCATCTTAGCTTCTTTTTCCCTCCTCTTATCGTTAATGACAGGCTTTGTGTTGGGAATCTTCATTAAATTCCTAGAAACCCCCATTGTCAAAGCCAACAACCGGGATCTCTCCTATATCCTCCTCGTCTCCCTCCTGCTGTCCTTCTTGTCCTGCTTCCTCTTCATTGGCCAGCCAAGCAAAGCCACCTGCCTCCTCCGACAAACAGCCTTCAGCATCATCTTCTCAATAGCTGTCTCTTCTGTCTTGGCCAAAACAATCACAGTGGTGATGGCCTTCCTGGCCACAAAGCCAGGGAATCGGGTAAGGAGATGGCTGGGAAAGAGCTTCACCAACAGTCTCATTCTTCTCTGTTCTAGTGTCCAAATTGTTCTGTGCTCCTCTTGGTTAGGGCTACACCCCCCATTTCCGGACTCTGATAAGAACTCTCACCCAGGACAAATCCTCCTGCTGTGCAATGAAGGATCTCTGGCCATGTTCTATGGTGCTCTCAGCTACATGGGCTTCCTGGCTGCCATTTGCTTTGTGGTGGCTTTCCTGGCCAGGAAGTTGCCAGGATCCTTCAATGAAGCCAAGTTGATCACCTTCAGCATGCTGGTCTTCTGCAGTGTTTGGGTGTCCTTCGTGCCTACCTACCTGAGCACCAAGGGGAAATACATGGTGGCCGTGCAGGTCTTCTCTATCTTGGCTTCCAGTGCTGGGCTACTGGGCTGCATCTTCTTTCCCAAGTGTTACATTATTGTACTAAGGCCTTATCTGAATACGAAGGAGCATTTAATGATAAAAATAAAATAGAAAAGTGATCCTTACACAAGATTACTTCAAGAGTGTTATCTAAAATCTGCCATTCATATTTAATAATTGATCATATTATCAATGAGCATCTCACCATCTTCATCCCACCCATTTGTGCTTAGATAAGGTGTAAGTAATTGTTCTTGGGATGTAATTTGTGTGTTTATGTGTGTGCGCATTTTACATTTCTAAAATGTACACAATGCTTCTTATACATGCTAGTTTTCCATAATAAAAAGAATGAGTTGTCGTATGAAACAAATGAGTCATGTTCATTAAGTGGCATAAGGAAGAATAGAACTGAGAGTTATCACAGATCAATATCAATTCAGGTCTCATATCAATTCAGATTTTTCAAGCACCATCTTTTATAACTAGTCTGCCAAGGCTCCAAGTAATGAATGCAACCAATCCAGCAACTCATAGGCTTTCTGCCTTCTCAAAAATTCCTTTATTGAGTACATAATTTCAGCACATTTGAAATGCAAAACCAGCTCTGGCTATTTCCCCACGCTTTCAGTATAATTAAAGAATAGACAGCTCCCTCCCTCCTTGTCACAGGTCATGTTATCCAATTAGGTATTCTGGAATCTCCTTGGTAACCTCTTCCAGCCTCTGGCCAGCAGCTGGTAGGATGACCTTGGTTCCCACGAGATAGTAAGTTGTTGATGTCTGGTCTGACATTCCAAAGCTCCCTCCCTGACCCAAAGTGTGGAGAGACACATCATCTATGTCCAGTCTACAACACAATCCTTTCAACAGTTCCAAGAAGGCTCCAAACCCATTTGCAATACTCAGGTGACCCTGATGACACAGATAAACCTCCAGATGGCCTTAATGACTCTCTAAAAAAATGCAAATGACCAGCTGTCTGCAAGGAGTATAAACCCTTCCATTCCCATCCAGTCAGAGCTGAAGAAGTTTCTTGGATGAAAAGCAAAGCATCATCAAACAAAAAACCAGAAAGTCGGGTTGCCTCCTGAGAAAACACCTGTGGGACCTTGGAGTCATTCTGGTTGTTTGGGCCCAACACCAGGGCTGTATACATAGCAATAGCAATAGTCTCATATACCGCTCCGTAGTGTTTTCTTTGCAACAATTTATAATGTCAGCCTCTTGCCCCCATCAAACTGGGTCCTCATGTTACTGACCTCGGAAAGATGGAAGGCTGAGTCAGCCTTGAGCCCATCAGGATCAAATTCCAGACTGTGAACAGAGTCAGCCTTCAATACTGCATTCTAACCACTGCACCACCAGGGCTCTGCAACCCAGATTCAACATGTCCGTCCGTCCCCAAGACCACAAGTTTGCAATTAGGGCTGTGAGGTTTTGCTCGGGCAGCCAGTTAACTCCACACTTAGGAATNAAAGCAGATTCCTTATTGTTGATCACCTGTTTTACAGGAATCTCACCAGACTGACTTGGGAATCCGTAGAAAAAAAGCTTCATTAGTCTAGCCCAGGGATGGCGAACCTATAGTATGCATGCCATTTCTCAGGGCACTTAGGCGTTGCCCTGTCAGCTGGCCAGCACACATGCGCGCGCTGGCCAGCTGAGTTCACCCTTTTTTAAAGCCATTTTCACCTTCCCCAAGTTCCAGAGGCTTTATAGGAGCCTGGAGAGGGCAAAAAGAGCCTCCCACGCCCCCCCGGAAGCCCTGTGGAGGCTTCATGAGCTTCCCTGAAGCCTCCGGAGTGAAAAAAAACTGGCCCTATGGGCAAACCGGAAGTTTGGGAACAGACTTCCGGTTTGCTCAGAGGGTCATTTTAAGTGCTCCGGAGGCTTCAGGGAAGCCTCCTGAAGGTCCCTGAAGCCTCCGGAGCATTCAAAACAATGCTCCGAGCACACAGGAAGTCACTTCCGGTTTGCTCATAGGGTCTTTTTTTGCCCTCCGGAGGCTTCAGGGAAGCCTCCTAAAGCCTCCAGAGGGCCTCCGGGGGTATGGGAGAAGCTTTTTTCACCCTCCCCAGGCTCCTATAAAGCATCTGGAGCCTGGGGAGGGCGAAAAAAGCATGCAAAAAATGGGGGGGGGGGTCATGCATGTGCACTGGGTTTTTTTGCGCATTGCATTATGGGTGTGGTACACCCGCTCATGACTCCCCCTGTGCTCCCCCCACTTATGGCACACGAGCCAAAAAAGGTTCACCATCGCTGGTCTAGCCTGTGTAGTTTCCTCTCATGGAACAACTCCGTGCCGGAATGCCTCTTCACTCCCCCTTCTCCTTTAGCTGGTGATTCCTCCACCACATTTCAATAAGTTAAAATCACAGTAAACTGAGCTCAACAACTCCTTCTAACTTCAAGAACATCGGTCATTTCCTTTGACAACACTGAGAAAGAGGCTTGCTACTGATTTCTTCCAGTATATTTTTTGATGCCCAGGTCTTGCCTATCGCTCAGAGTTTTTCTCATGGTCTCCCACTGAGGGACAACACAAATCTATTACTATATAGATTTTTTGAAACCAGGCCCAGACCGATGAGTACTGCCAACTGCAATTTGGATCTCCTAACTTAAATAGCTACGTTTACACCATACCCTAAGCCGGGGGTCCCCAAGCTCCAGTTTGTGGATCGGCACCAGTCTACGGCATACCAGAAACTGGGTTGCGTAAACTGGGTTTGCGTAAGCAAAACCGCATCTGTGGGATGCAGACAGCACACAAAACCATGCCCCCTCTGGTCCACAGAAAAACCTCTTCCCATGGAACTAGTCCCTGGTGCCCAAAAGGTTGGGGGAAGGGGTGGGCTTCAAAAATTGCACCAATGGGTTTGCTGCCCTGTTGCTGGGTGGGCATGGCCATGGTGGGGGTGGCCTAGTAGGACTCCTGCACCACAACAGGAGTGGATGTTTTTCACCCTCCCCAGGCTCTGGAGGCTTTCCTCGGGCCTCTGGGAGGGTGAAAAATGCTTCCCCCGGGCTCCAGAGGCCCCCAGAGGCCAGAAAAGGGCTTCCCCCATTTCCCCCCTTCTCTGAGCCTCCGTTCAGGCCCTGCACTTACCTAGCAGGATGAACGGGCCACATGAAGACTCCTNAACTAGTCCACATTTACATCCATTTGCAGCATCCTACAGACATGGGACGATGATTTGCAAGGTTTTTGTTGGAATCAGTGTTTACAGGTACTGTATGAGTGCAATGGTTAGAATGCAGTATTGCAGGCTAATTATGCTGACTGCCAATTGCCGGCAGTTCGGCAGTTCGATTCTCATGGGCTCAAGGTTGACTCAGCCTTCCATCCTTCCAAGGTCAGTCAAATGAGGACCCAGATTGTTGGGGGTAATGTGCTGACTCTGTAAACCGCTTAGAGAGGGTTGTAAGCACTGTGAAGCAGTATATAAGTCTATGTGCTATTGCTACTGGTCGTAACTCACGAGGATCATAAAGTAGGTCAGTCACATGACCAACCTGATTTTACAATTTTAATTGCCATGGTTGTTAAGCAGACCCAATGGTTCCCTATGGATGTGATTTTGCTGGAAATTGGAAGACAGTTCTGGCTAAAAATCAGGAATCTGGTAGACTTTTTCCAAATATCACATTTTATTCAAAGGCATAAGCTTTTGTGAGCTGCAGCTCACTTCATCAGATGCATAGACTGGCCAGACAAATAAGAGGATTTAAATTGGAACAAACAAGAGGAGGTGGGGAGGAAGGGGAAATAGGGAGGGAAAGATAGGTTAGTTATTTAGATTACATGTGAGACAAATTACAAGTACCTTATCACTTATCAATTATCATGTATTAAAAAGCTTAGTGGTTCTTCTGCTAACATGATCCTTAATAATTTTAGCACTCTATGGATTGTAGGAAGAAATATCCATCTGGTTCAGTTCCAAGTAGGGAGAAAGACACTGGAAATATGGAGGGTGATTGGAAAGATGGTTTATTGGTGAACAGGACCACATGTGTTTGAGGTCCTGGGCAGCTGACCACATGGAGTGGAGAGTGAGGGTTATTTACACCTTCTCTTGGGCCTTGCCCTTGAGCTTCCTGTTCCTGTGGCAAAAGCAAGTATTCTATTGGTTGCTGTAGGATCACAGTTAACTTTGTAGGCTATCCACGTCCCAGGCTTGATTGAAGCTTGCTGGGTGATGCAATGAAAGGCAATTCCTATTGTGGCTAAGTGGCTTTGCCCTGCCTTTGTTCAGAGCCAGACCTTGCTGCAGGCAGTAATGGATTGCCAAATCTGCATTCCTAAAGCTGCCCCAGCTCAGTATTTGCTTGGATGGGGGGGCTGCAGGGAGTTGAGGCTCTGAGTTTCTGTCTCCAAGAGCATATTTTTCAATTTCTCAACCAGGGAAATATAATATTCTGTCTTTTTAATAGTTCCTAAAATATTTCATTATTCTGGGTGGGTGGTACCTTTCTACAGGATCAAAATCAATACTTCCCCATGGCCTCTCTTTACTGCTCAAGGAAGTCTCTTTGCTGGAACTTATAACAGAAAAGCAGAATTGGAAGGGACCTTGGAGAGCTTCTAGTCCAACCCCCTGCTCATGCATGGATCTCTACACCACTCCAGACAAACGGTTGTCCAATCTCTTCTTAAAAACATCCAGTGTTGGAGTATTCACAACATCTGGAGGCAAGGCCTTCCACCAATGGTGGGATTAAAATAATTTAATAACCAGTTCTCTGCCCTAATGGCCATCTGGGTAGATGGGGCTCAGTGGTGATGTGATTGGGTGGGCATGACCAACTTAACATCATTCAGGTCGAGCTGTTACAATGTAACAAGGGGTTAACCAGAAAGACAGTTTCTGTAAGCAGGGCAATAAAGATTAGGCTAGGAACAACACCAGACTGTTTCCTTCCCACCTTCCTTACAGGATTAGCCCTGTAAAGTGGGAAAAAAAATAAAAGGAGATTTCTTCCAACAAGCGGTTCTCTGAACTGCTTAGAAAGTTAACAATCCATTCTCCCGAATAGGTGCGAACTGGCTGAATCCCACCACTGCCTTCCACTGATTAATTGTTCTAACTGTCAGGACATTTCTCCTTCATTCTAGGTTGCTTCTCTTAAAGTGCTTTCTACTTAAATAGAAATTGCATTGCTAGACCAGATTCTGACATATGCCTGCTACTAAGGATTACACTGCATGGCTCGTTTTTATCATAAGTTGTTCTTTTGTATTTAAACCAGGCCTCAGTACAATAATGTAGCATTTAGGAAGAAAAATGCAGGCCAGCAACCCAGCACTGGAGGCCAAGATGGAAAAGATCTGCACAGCCACCATGTATTTCCCTTTGGTGCTTAAGTAGGTGGGTATGAAGGAAACCCAAACACTGCAGAAGACCAGCATGCTGAATGTGATCAACTTGGCTTCATTGAAAGTCCCAGGCAGCTTCCTAGCTAGGAAAGCCACCAAAAAGCAGATGGCAGCCAGGAAGCTCATGTAGCCGAGAGCACCATAAAACATGACAAGAGAGCCTTCGTTACATTGCAGGATGATTTCTCCAGGTTGAGAGTTCATATCAGAGTCAGGAAAGGGGGGCGAAGAGCCCAGCCAAATTGCACAGAGAACAACTTGGACAACGGAGCAAGAAAGGACAATGGTGTTGCTCAAAGTCTTCCCCAGCCATCTTCGTACCTGGTTCCCTGGCTTTGTGGCCAGGAAAGCCAGCACCACCATGATTGTTTTGGCCAAGACAGAAGAGACAGCAATTGAGAAGATGATGCTGAAGGCTGTTTGTCGGAGGAGACAGGTGGCTTTGCTCGGTTTGCCAATGAAGAGGAAGGAGGACAAGAAGGAAAGCAGAAGAGAGACAAGGAGGACATAAGAGAGGTCCCGATTGTTGGCTTTGACAATGGGAGTTTCTAGGAATTTAATAAAAATTAACAACACTAACCCTGTGGCTAAGGACAAGAACAATGCAAAGGAAGCAAGGATAATCCCTAAATTTTCATCGTAAGAGAGAAAAGATATAATCTTGGGTACACAGTGATCTTGAGCATTGTTTGGATACTGATAGTCCCCACACAGGATGCAAAGATCTGCATCTAAAGAGGAAAAAAGAGATCAATTTCAGGGTTGCGCGGTAGCCCACTAAGATCGGCAATAACATTTGCTTTAATTGTCACAGCATCTCAGTAACTTTAGTTCAGCTCAGAAAAGCTAACCAGGATTGGTCCCCATTGTTCCTTTGATAGAAGATCACCAGGTCAGAATGGAAACTTGAAGAAACATTCTGGAAATAGGGAGGTGCAAACTATTTTAGGAATATTTTGGCACTCATCGTTAATTGGTTCAGGAAGCCATGATGAGTACTCAGAACAACAGGTACCAAACAAACTAAGTGAGTTAACCACATGACCCTTTGTTTCAGCTAGGAAGGACTATCTGTCTGTCCATTTTCCTATGTCAGTGACCTTCCCAGCATGGCCGACTTCCTGTCCACCTTCTGTGGCCATCCCCCTTTTGCAGAGACCTTCCCAGCATGGCCAGCTTCCTGCCTGTTCTCTGTGGTTGTCCCACTTTTCCCATCACAATGTAATGAGTACCAAACAAATGAGTACCAAGATAACATTTTTGCATCAAAATGCATTTAGAACCAAATTTGAGGAGTTTTGAAGCAATCATCCACTGAGGTACCACTGTATTCAGAATACTTATAATTATACAGACTAAAGTCACCAACTTTGATAAGGAATCTCTCATTGTTATTTATCTTCACTTTTAACCTGTCAATTGATGCTATGAATGATTTAGTTGTATTTTAGTTGTATTTAGTTGAATGATTTAGTTGTATTAGTTGTATGAATGATTTAGTTGTATATTTCAATTGATGCTATGAATGTATTTAGTTGTATGTTGTATGTAGTAGCAGCTGGAGTACAGCATGGCAGAGTGTCAGTACCATCTGGGTGGAATTAAACTTCTGAAAATGATGTGCTTTTTTTCCTTCACTGTAAGGAGAACTATAAGTCCAAAAATCTGATACTATCCTGAAAAAACTCAACGTTTGGAAAAAAATGAGAAGTTTCTACAATAGTGTTTCTCAAACTTGGCAATTTGAAGATGTGTGAACATCAACTTCCAGAATTCTCTAGCCAGTATGCTGAGGAATTCTGGGAGCTAAAGTCCATGCATCATAAAGGTTACCAAGCAGTGGTGGGATTCAATTTTTTTTACACCAATTCTGTGGGCGTGGCTTGGTGGGCGTGGCAGGAGAAGGCTACTGTAAAATCTCCATTCCCTCCCCACTCCTGGGGGAAGGATAC